TTTTGCAAAAAAATTAAGTCAATAACATGTTTTAGACATGTGTTAGTCTGTGCTTTGTGCTCATGTGGCTACAACTATTCAAAGTGAGCAGTACACTAGGCCTCTGCTGTCAGCTGTTAACAGCCGGCTTGAATTAAACCCACTGCTGTGTTCACATCTGATCAAGTATCGAGCTCGAATGATAACGCTTCACAAGTCCACTGTACGGAAACTGTGAGTTTGATAAAAACCCAAACACATAATATAGCATATTCAATATCATAACTACACAAAAGCCTTGTTTTACAGGCTGTCCACAGGCGCGCGTGTAAAGTGGTGCACATTTCACGTGTAACAGAGCAGCACTGTCCTCTATTAGAGCAAACACTACCCACATAATAACAAAACAACGCGGACAGCAGGAAATTCGTTTCTGATCTTTCATAATATAATGTTACCTTGACATGTGTACCTCTGTATGTTTATCAATTATTTGTTTAATAGGCGAGATCAACTTTCCAATGAGTGATTATTACTAGACGCACACAAAGCAAGCTATTTTTGTCATTACATTGAAGAGTTTTCCCAAATATCGCTCTAGTCGTTTATAAAACTATATTTCGTATGATTTGAACGTTTCGTTACATTCCTCGCACACAGCGAGCGACGGCGCGTCTCGCTCCCCCATTTTGAACAGTCCACCGGTTGTGTTCATTAAGATATTTCCTCAACAATCAAGCCAAATAAATACATATTTCCCGTTCAGCACAGAGGAACACTAAAGCATCGATACAAGTAGTAAACGAGAGGTCAACCGCGTCAAAACAGCGTTGGATGACAGCAGATGTAACACAGAAGCACTCACTTATTCAGGGCACAGGATCCAAGATGGCTGTAAGAGAGGGCTTCTGACCTCCGCGTCGCTCTGATGTCACAGCTCTGCTTCCGGCCCCAACAGGAAGTTGCTTTTGGATACGCTCTTGCTGACAGCGAGAACCCACATTTTCAGGTAAAAAATATTGTTTATGTGCATTAGCTCTGCTATTTTAGTGCAGTACTGTGTATACATTAATTAGACGTGATGGAGAATTCACAGTAGCTGTTTTAAAAGAACGAATGTAT